TCAGCACATTTTTCAGGATAGACTGTGCACAAGCCCTTTCAGTGCTGTGGCAACTGAATTCGAGTTATCTTGAAGTTTTATTTTCAAGTTATTCAAGTTACCTGGTAGTTTATCCATGACAGTGCATGGAAAGGAGTTGGGGGGTAGGACAATTTTTTGAATCCTTCCTAGTGGAATTACTTCCATCATTATAATCAGGTTGTATTTCAGCTGATATAATAATAAAAAAACAAAGAGAAGAACTCCACAAACTAGAATGTAAATCAGAAAACTGCATATGCATAGGGATAATTTGTATGCTGTGGACTGTATTGAAATATAGAGTTCAGCATTTTCAAGGTGTTTTGCTGATGACAGCTATAGAGTAATAGTGCTGAAGCAACTGATGAGCTTGATGACACACCTTTATTAATATTAATTTCCTAATATAATGTGGTACTACATGAGATGATATATGTGCTCATCTTATCTGTCATATATCCTTTTTGTTTCTTTGCTTTAGGTTTTTTCCACCAATCATGCTGTCATGATTGACATGCCTGAGTTTATTCTCTTAACTACGTGCAGCCATTGCAGAATTTTCTTTTCTTTACAAGCAAAAGGCAAAATAATAATAAATAAATAAATAAAGGCAAGAACCAGGCAAGCTATCCATTTCCCAAGGAAATAGGTTGCTTTATGTAGATTCTGAGCTCTTGCACATAAAAAGCAGGTAAATGGGCACTGCAGTTTCCAGTCTCTGTTAAGATATTGCAGTAATGAGAGCCATTATGAGAAATCTAGATGGAGAAATGGATGCACCTGGGGTTTCAGTTCCTCTTTTTCCAAACTGACTGCTACCTTTTTCTATTTCCTGGATATCTAAGAGATCATCAGCAATTGGTCTCTCTACTGTCTTAGGGACAGAAAATATCTCAAACCTAACTGGCATTAATTTAATTCAGATTTCTCTTTCTGTCATAGTAAAGGGGCTTCTTTTCACACAGACCATACAGGGAACTTACTTAAATACATACTGAAGAGGGCTGTTCCACTTGGTATCTAAAAAATTTGTTTTATATCTAAGTCAGACTGACTCATTCTTACTTACAGCAAGTGCGGGGAAAAGGAATGCAACAAAAAATCTCATGTCCATGAGCACTGAAGTGTACAGACTTTGAGCAATGTTTTCTTCTTTTCTGTTTTGTTTCTATTTTTCCTACTCATCCCCATACAAATATGCATACAAGTACACACAATCACCAAACTGCTTTGCTCAACCCTACAAATAGTGTTGAAGTAGAAAAATTTCATCAAAATGTACGACAAAAATCATTTGACCTTTCTAAGTTTAAACAGCCTCACATTTAACATATTAACTCCAAAGTGTATGATATATTTACACCACCGTTAAGCCTTGGGAAGTCACAGTCATAGTCAGTGACTGTAAGACCTAGTGGCTTCCCATCCTCCCAGGTTTTAAGGAATATTCATGTGTTTTCTGTGAGTATTCTGTCAAAGATGTAGATTGTGTGGCTAATATCAGTATGTGCTGGTTATTTGTTTTCACTTCTCTAAAGAGAATTATTTTTCAGTAGTTTGAAAATAAAATTAATCATAAGTCCAGTGACTTCAGAGCAAGTACTCTGGGTCAATAGTTAAATACTGAAATATTTTGAGTGCCATGAGAGCACTCAGGTCTTCAGAAAATAAGTACTTCATTATGCTGCAGGTGAGGGAATAATTTGACCTTATTGCTTTGGCATTCTGTATATCTGCTTTTTAAATAAATAGGAGATCTTAAAATAGGAGGTAAAGGGTCAGAGGTTAAACTCATGATGTAATTAAAGTTGCAGCCTTAGGGTTTGCCCTTTAAGTTTAAATGTCTCTGTAAGTTAAGGATGAAATGACTTAATACAGACTTCTATATTTGGGTAAATTCTGGTGGTATGAATTCCAAAATGTGTGCATTAGCTTTATAGCTGAGTTACCTTAAGATGAAAGGTTTTGGTAAGCTGTGAGAAAAACAAGCAGCTTTTGAGTTGATGGACCCCGTGTACAAGTCAATCATTGTAATGCCATGTTGTTTGAAGCTGTGTCTCCTAATTTTTCAGAGAAGATTGTGGTTAATGACATGTTAAGATAGCCTTCAGTTCTGGCAGGGCTTGAAGCAAATATTAGTTTATTATTGTCAGAAAGTACGAAGATAATGACATGCTAAGTGACAGAGGAATACTCTGAGCAGCCAGTGAGTTTGGAGTTAGAGTTTTGCATCCTTGAATTTTCTGCCCTTCCAGCTCTCTCCTCTACTCCCCAGTACCCTGATCCCGGGGCCAAGAAGGAGTCTCACTAGTTGTGGCAGACACTATCAGAGCACAACACTTCCCTCCATGTAAACTTTTTTCAGACCTATGATAGCCCAAAAGCTCACTTCTACTAATGCAAAGTTTGAGTTTCTACTGCCATTTTCATCTCTTTCTAGCCTCAAAAGCATTGACTACAATTGCAATTTAGAGAGCAGGAAAAGCATTGCATGTGCATGCGTGTGCTCTCTTTTTTTCTATATAATATGTAAGTAAAAGAGAAGATAAATCTAAGACTACAATAACCAGTGAGTTTTGGGATTGGAAATTTGTCTCATTTTCCCCACTGGCATCACAGATGGGTGAGAAAACAGATATGGCTTTCAAACCCCAGTCCACACTGGGCAAGAGTAATGAAGCAACCTGGGCACATGGGCATCCCCAGGAGGGCTCTGTGCAGTGTTCAACCTGGAGGTGACAGATGACCAGACATGCCCTAGATGCTTTCAGCATTGGGAAAGACCTGACAGAGCATGTGGACATAGAGAGTTCTCTGAGAAAACATTCCCAGGTTGTGTTTCTGGTTGTGTTTCTTGTCCTGACCACAACTGAGATGGGTACAGCGCACTGACCTTCTGCCTGTTCCTGTAACCCGACTGTCCGCCCCAACCATGCGTACCTTCAGTATATTCTCAGCTGGGTTCCTTACCTCCTGAGTAATTTTAAACCCATATGTTTCTGTATGCCTGCATACACTACACAAAGGCATTACTTTTTGTTTTTACCTCAGAATAATGAAGAGCAAAGCAGAAGAGAACTTGTTCAGGAGCTGCTCAGCTCACAACCCCTGGTTGTTAGCATCTCCCATAAGGCTGTAGGGAGGACTATGGGGATGGTTGCTCCCTCTGCATGGGGTCATGAGGGTGGGTGGGCTAGCTCAGGCATCCCACAGCCCCGCTCTAAAATGGACTCCGTGCCAGCCTTACCCAGTGCCAAGCCAAGCACGCATGTTTGAATGCGTGGGAAGGGAGAAAAGGGATTTCCGCCTGTTGACCCCACATACCTTCTCAGAATCTGGCACAGCTTCTCGAGGTCAGAAATACGCTATGGCCAGGCAGGGATTGCTTCCCTAGGGACGTGTGAATACAATTCCAAACGCTGGGTCTCCAGTCTTGACTTTCCACCCCATTTTACATGAATAAGTGGCCACCTCCCAAAGTAATTCTCTCATTCAGCTAGTTAGTGCTTCAGGCCCATTTTACAGCCCACACACATAGCAACTCTTATACATGGACACAGTCCCATTGAACAAACATGAGTTGTTTGACACGCAGAACAGCTAAAAAATGCAGAAAACACAGTGTCTTCATTAGAAAGGGGGAGAAAAAAATCCGCGATCTATGGATTTTATTTATAGATTAGATCCACAGACTACCACTTTTTTTCAGCTTAATTTCATTATAGTTTTCTTTTCCACTGATTCTGTGCATTTCATTTTTTGCTCCAATTCTTTCCTTCCCAAGGCTCTAAACATAGCTCATTTCAACTTATTCTTACACTGTTCTCACGTGCTTTACCTGTTTCCTATTAACTTCTCTTCTTAGTTATTTGTGTTTCTTGCAGTTGGCAACGAGGTCATTCTGCTGTCGTAAGACTTCTGTCAAACATCTTTTCCTCCCTCCAGTGGCCATCTATTTCTCTAGCCTTCAGATAACTTTTAGTCAAATGTTTTCCCTTTTTCTTCTTCCTAAAGGAGCATCACTCAAAACACCTTGCTGATGTGGATTGAGTTTGTACTTGGTTATTGAGCTATGGATCAAAGGCAGTCCATAAGTGATACTGCCAATACCAATTTTTTTTAATTGACATTGGTTAATTACACTTATATGGCTTCATCATACTAGTCTAATGAGCTCTCTTGATCTGGGAAAGAGTCTGGTATTGTGAAATAAAGAAACAAGTTTAAAATGAAGGACCTTACAGTCTTCTGATAAAATATAGAAACACATCAGAAGACTGAAAATACAGAAATGCACACCAGAAGACTTGTAGTGTTTCCTCTCTTGAGGCTCTGTGCTACCAACTCTCCCATTTTCCTATAAGGAGACTATGCTTGTTTGCACATGCAGATGTAGAACTGAGCCTTAAGACAGTAAGCTCGTTGCAGCCAGTATCTTTATTACTTTACACAGTCATATTTCCAACCCTCTCTTTAAGAAAACATATCTTTTCTTTCTCATTTACTTGCCCGTTTATTTTATAACTCTAACTTGCCTGTGTTCTGTTCACTGCTTCCTTCGGAGAATCTCAATTATGCCCCCACGATTTTGTCTTGCCTATAAAACTTAGATTAACCAGTGAGAGACGAGAAAGCATTTCCATCTTGCTCACAGCTGGCACTTCAAGGGACCCGACAGGAATGTTTGTATCTGACTCTTCCTTGTTTATCTAATCATTTGCTCAAATGAATCGTTGCCCATGGGCTGTTTACGTACAAAAAGGTTTTATGAAAAATCACACCCTGTTTATAGCAATTTATTAACTGGAAAGAGGTGATCTTAGCTGATTGAATTGTTATGTTAAAGTGTTTCCTTCAACTCTGGCCAGAAGCAAAGATCCATCAGTAAGTGTCCTACCTGGTAAACTATTCGTAGCTTAATTTTGTATGGCTCTTGTTCAGTGAAGAGGCTTGTAAGGTTTTTTGCCTTTTTTTCACAGGTGCCACCAGTGCTTCTGGACAAGCAGTTTTCAGAATTCACGCCAGATATCACACCCATTATTCTGGCTGCCCACACCAACAATTATGAAATCATAAAGCTCCTTGTACAGAAGGGGGTCTCCGTGCCCAGGCCACATGAGGTCCGCTGTAACTGCGTCGAATGTGTGTCGAGTTCAGATGTGGACAGCCTTCGCCACTCTCGATCCAGACTCAATATCTACAAGGCTCTGGCGAGCCCATCGTTGATTGCTTTGTCCAGTGAAGATCCCTTCCTTACCGCTTTTCAACTGAGCTGGGAGCTGCAGGAGCTCAGTAAAGTCGAAAATGAATTTAAGTCGGAGTATGAGGAACTGTCACGGCAATGCAAGCAATTTGCAAAAGATCTGCTGGATCAGACACGGAGTTCCAGGGAATTGGAAATTATTCTTAATTACAGAGATGATAATAGCTTGATAGAAGAACAAAGTGGTAATGATCTTGCAAGATTGAAACTGGCAATTAAGTACCGTCAAAAAGAGGTGAGTGTGCTGGAGAATATTTAAGCATATTTAGTAGTAGTAATGTGATAGATAATAGCCTGATATACATCCTTTTAACTGAGACAAATTGCTGCTTATCTTTTTTTTTTTTCTACAGGGTCTCTTTTTATATTTTTAATTAGACGAATTTGAGGAGCTGTTACAGTTTGATAGTATCAGAATTTAAAATGTTCTGTTATAGTGCAGATCCAAAGAAACTTTTTTCTTTTGCACCTGAATAGACGCAGTCTCCAGTAGTTGTGCTCTAAAGAGCTCCTCAGTAATAGGATGAGAAATATATACAGCATACTTCAAATTAGCTTTAATTGTGCCTGACAGAAAAATGAGGATATGTGTTTGAACACCTATAAAATACCACAGGTACCTCTATGGAGGGGTTTCTTCAAAAAATAGTTACTGTAAATAGATACTGACACGTAAATTTAATAGCATTGCATGACTCCCAAAAATTATGACATTCAGATTCTTTTCCATAAAGAATCCAAAATGGAGATACCTGGGTATAGGTTTCCATGACAGTTAAAAATTCATGAGTTTGCTTCACCGATACAGATATTCAGTTGGAATCAGAGGATGTCTGCATTTCTTTTAAAAATAATCAAGTTCTTACATGCATGCAAAAGCAAAAGAATCAAGACAGAAAAATTAGTTAGGAAGACAGTTCCCCTGATATTTCCAAAACTTCACTTGATCCCTGCTCAACATCGTGTCAGAATGTGTTTTATCATCTCATTTGGAACCTGTACATCCAAAATGAGATGAACTGTGGAAGTGTATAGGCAAGACAAATGCTGTTAAAAGTTACTTGTTCATATATAATATGGCCAATGCTTAAGAAACTTCTGTGTTATATTGAACTAGTCCATCTATCACTGCTAAATCTCTGTTCTGCAAAATATAATAGTAAATGCATTAATATATTAAGTATGTGAGAAGGGTTTGCAGGAACAATAACCAAACATGTAATGATTCTGTTGTCCATTTGAAATACAATTTAGCAATGCTAAGAGGTTATCACGAAGGTAAGGACCTAGTGAAGTACGGCTGGAAAAATGTCTCAATTGGTCTCTGACTTCATTATTAGTCTTCTAATAAGCATTTTTGTTTCCTTCAGAAAATGTATTGCATAATTTTATATTTGATAGTATAATGTTTTAGGCAACATATTCACTGCCTTCGTAAATTATTTTCAGATGGTACTATTCCAGATTTTTCTTAACAATTACTGTTTCTATTTCTTGAAATGCCAACCTTGTCCTACAATCATTTGTCCTACAATTCTAGCTTGGACTTCTGTTTTCCAAAGGATTCATGCATTGAAATAAAATTCTGACCTCTCATAGTTTGGGTTTTTTTAAAACTAAATACAAAGCTAAAATTTTCTTAATTTGATATAGAGGCACTGAGAGACATCTGTAAGGTGAAATTTTTTTATAGTTCCACCTGATTCCCATACCTAATTAAATTGCAGTAATACAGCTGATTACACTTCATTGATTCTTAGGCATAGCAAACATTAAAGCAATACTGATTTAGTGCAACAATTCCAAATCAGTGGATCTTTTATATTTTACATACATTTTTCATTTCTATAAATATTTCCCACTATCCCTACCATTTGAGTCTCCCTGAAGTAAAATCAGGTTTTATTAGATTCTTTTGCTGTGTTACTAAATGTATTCCCTACTAGATGCTGGAGCAAATGGTAGCCACTGTAACTGATCAATTGTTTTATTTCCGATTATTACAACAGTATTCTGGTAGGTACAGCCTCAAGGTCAAGAAATGTACCTCAGACATAACAAATGCTTGGATTCCAGTTGTCCTGATGCATATGGATCATACTGAAAATGGATCAGATGGGTCTTTCTATTTCTTGTGTTAAGGATGTTACAGGAGCCACCAAATCCTCCATGGTCTGGGGATTCATTAAGCCTGGTCACTGGAGCCCAGCCAGGAGCACCTGGAGACCCTGGGGTCTTTGTCCCGGGCGCAAGCATACTGACTGGCCCTGCTTACACAAGACCAGCCCCTTGATTGCCTTCTGCTCTCCATTTTGCCATGCTTGTCTCTTCCTGATCCTTCCCCACACTTTACCTTTCCCCTAAACAACCCATAATAAATTTTACATAATCCCACAAGACCCTTCTGATATCCCATAATAACTTTGAATTTCCCATGAGTCCCATGAACCTTCTCAAACATTGCATAATAGTCATGATAATGATTTCCCTTCCTCATGATCAGTTACAAAGTTGAGGTGGACCCTCCTCAAGGCAGTTGCATCTGGCCCTTTAATGGCCCGTTTGTGAGAGGCTAAAGAAACTTGGTCTTTGTCATTGCATCTATTATACCCTGGTTTCTGTGTTGAATTTATCACTTTCCTTGTTATTTTCTATTTCAGTTACACTGATTAACCCTTGTCCAGATAGTTAAATTAACAAACAATTCAATGAACCAGATGCTCTCACATTTCATATACCCTTGCAAAACTGTCCAACGTAAACTTGACAGGAAGCAACAAAGTCAACTTAGAAATTTTTATTTTAAAAATAGCAGCAAAAAGAGTGCTCTGGATTTTAATTAGCCTATGAATATATTATTCTGGATTTATCTTGTTTAAAAATACTGGTTTGGGGTGATACATATGCTTCTTCTGCCCTATGTGTCTCAACCACCAAGAGTCAGTTCTCCACCACAGACTTTTCTATTATGACGGGATCAAACACGGTGTTTTTTTGATACTATCAGTTCTATTTATTGTCTTTCTTTGTCTTAACTTGTCAGCTATTGCTCAAAATAATAATGTTAAAAAAAAAAAGTCCCCAACAAAACTGCAAAACAAATAAGAATGTACTGTCTTCCCTTCTTATCTTACCCTAACATTTTAACCTTTATTCACGTTACTACCAAAGGACATTGCAATGCTATATTAGGGCTGAGGTCAGAGCTCCGTGAGTAAGCAAACAGATCTGGTTGTTCAGAACATCGAGGGTAAGTCTAGAAGTGGAAACTAAAAGTAATAAAATAATGAAGAATGAGGACAAGTAAAATAGGGGCATGTGGCCTCTTGCATTGCTTTTACGATGAATTGCTGAGGAGTTAAAGGTGAATTTTTTTCTTTCAAGTTAAATATAACACCAAAAATATTAGCAGTAATTCCTCTTGGCATTTATAAGCGAGTATGGAACACTTTAGAACTAAGTCTTGTAAAGGACTGGAGTAGGCTTTGGATAATGTAACTTGGTTTAATCTCAAAGACACAAGATTTGTTAGGAACAGCAGATTGAGGGTACTTGTAGGAGAAGCAGACAAGTGGGTGGTGAACAATTTTCCTTGTGTAAAGAAAGGAAGATTGACAAACATGAGAAAAGATAATTCTCAAGCTGGGAGTTGTTGAGGAGCTTACAAAATGACATAGTGTTTGATCAAATGGAGATCTAGAAATACCTTGTAATGAACAAAGAAAGACTTCTAAAAAGTGAAGTGATGAAGCAGTTCCTCATTGTGGTAGTCTGCAAGTCCCTGGTACCACCTCTGTATTATTATCTATGGAAATGAAGCAAGCAATCCATTCACAGAGGTGTCTGCATTGTTCATGGTCACCAGATTGCCCCTAAAGTCGACATTCTCCACAAAACCAGAAAGATTATGCCAGTTGGATTTGAGGTTGTCCACAGTGGAAGGTGCTCATCTTCTGCATTACCATTCCTTTTGTTCTTGCCATAATACTGTGATCTTCATTCAGGTACTGTCAAAAGGCATCTCAGTGGTATCAACTTTCAGTCCACGCAGTCATGTCTGAGAGAACCTACTACGTATTGCCAAGGAAGAAACTTCCTTGATAAAACCATTTATCTTCTTTCCTTAATAAATGGTAAGATGGAAAGAGATTTATAATTTCAAGTTTACACCGCAGAATGGTGTGTGGCAAGACTGTGGAGAAATCTGTTCAGAGTTAGGTGGCAGAACCACAGAGTATCTGCCAGCATGTATGTTTTGTGTGCTTACTCACAGCTTTATTTTACCAGAGCACATGGGACAGAATACCCAAGTCGCTATTTTTTTCTGTTCATTTTGCATCACTGATGCTGCTTGATTATAAACAAAGACACATTGCTGATGCTTATGGTGCCTGTTTCTGGCACCTACTGTTGCCTGGGCTACAACTAGCAGCTAACAAGAGATTCCCTCAATTGATGCAGCCACTCTGCACTGGGCACAAACACATCTACTGTATAATATTATCTCAACTAAGGGAGAGTTTGGTTTTATGAAGGCTGTCGCAGTTTCATTGTGCTAGATTCTAAGCACACAATGAACAATGAGAAATAGTTTCCCGTTTTCCTGAACCAAATAAAAATGTTATCTGATTCAACTGCAGCTTGATTCAAGGATGTAGAAGGTAAATCCACGATTCTGTATATGATTGACAAGCAAAAGTTATTCTACCTGTAATAATAATATGCCATTCTGAGTTCAAGTAAATTGCAAAACCATGGTGCAACAATACAATTAAGTAGCAGAGAATAGTAGCAGTATATAATAATTAATAGATAGTTATCTAATTTTTCAGTTAGCTTTGTTTTAGCTTTGATTCTGCTTAGGTATTATACATATATCTGTACATATGTGAAAAAGTGCTTACTAAAATGCTTACTAATTTTCCCATATATATGAAATAAAGAAGTGTAGGGGGATTAATAGCCTGAATCAATATCCTCTGTTTTCACAGTAAATTTAATTAGTGCAATTTAAATACTTACACTGATAATTCATATCTCTGTCTCATCTTGCCCTATGGCAAATACCTGGCCGCTGTCATTTAAGCTGTAGCTGTATAAGCTCAAACATAGTAGCAGGGTGAGGTTATAATTATTGGCAGTATTGCCTCATTTTGCTTTGTTATTAGACATTCTGATATTAACAGAGGAAATAGGAATTTTTAAATATATACCTGTTAACCTTTTATCTTTCAC